GCATGTAGGGAAGTTCCAGGACAAACAACTGCTCACCCTCTTTTCTTCTTCCCCTAGTGCACTTCCAGCTTCCCTGTACCCCTGTAGTAACCATTACCAACCCTACATTCACTGCATTTCAAACCCTCATAATCACCAAGCTCTGTGACCTAAAGGAAGAGATACAGAGCTTTCAGGCTGATCATAGATTTGTGAACAGCATCTTGGGAGCACTGGGTACTTGGGCTGGGTTTCTGATTTGTTTCACACTGATCTAAACTGGGAGATGATTCATTCCCCAGCCAATCTCAGAGTTAAAGGAGGCAAGAGCTAGGGACTTACAGACTCACTCCTTTGTCCTCCATCCTGAGGTCACTGGATGGAGTTCACTGATACCTAAGAATAAAGCCCAACCAACAGTGATGAGGGGTGACTGGTGGGCACCTGTAACAGGGGCCAACACCCCTATTACTTTAAGAGGGGAGAGCAGCAGGCTAGAGCTGCATTTTGATAGGAACAGCTGCATTTAAGCCAGCTACTGAGTAAGCAGCCCTGCTGTGTAAATGGCAGCAGAGAGGAGTAGGCAGCTTATTGAGCCAACGGGGGACACCTGGGCCCAATAAAGAAGCTAAGGGGGCCATGTGACTGGAAAGGGGAGGAACCTAGGGAAAAAAGCCCTGAGCCAGTGCAGCAGTGTTGCCAAATGTATGATAATTATCATATTTGTACAATAATTTCAACCCTTATATGATATACAAGCAATAATAGCAAAAGTACTCAAAATGTACATTATTTTTTGAGGCAGCAGCATATGCAAAACCTAAGTCACTCTCAGAGAGCCTTAAGTGAGTTTTGGGGGATGAGGGGGGACTTGTTTTTATTACAAAATACCATCACAAAACAAATTTACGATTTCCAACACAACCAGACTGTCTCTTTTACACTTCAAGGTCCCACTCACCCCTTTTTCAAAAGACTACACATTAACACTCCCTTAACATTCAATTTTAAACAACAAAATCAACACATTTACAAATACCTTAACTAAGTTTTTTTTTTTTTTTTATTTTGGGTTTGCTGTCAGCATTTTCTTGTGATTACTTGCCTCAATAAAAAAAATGCTTCAACTTTGATAACCCAGTTTTCACTCACTCACAGGCATCTTATAGTGAGCAATAGAAAATAAACAAGAAGACTTATTTGCATGCTTATTTGCATACTTTGCATATTTTCCCATGTGCAATAGTTTTTCAGCAAATATGAACATTTTGAGCTTCCAATACAATAATTTCATATTTAAGACCTGTCAGTGCTGCAGTGCAGTCAATTAGGCCCTGCTCCCTGGATGGAGTGGAGCTCCTGTCTGCAGGAGGGGCTGTAAGGAAGCTAGCAGCATAGACAGGAGTTTCCAGAGCATATAGACCTGAGTGTGATGGTACAAACTTGCATTAGGGACTGAAGGCTTTATGTTTGTATTTTGTATTTAAGCTACTGGAGGACCAGGTTGTGGCTGCAGGGGCAGCGTAGAGGCCACAGGAAGGGGTGCCTGAGGAACACCTTCTGTTTTAGCTCCTCAAAGGTCAAAGTCCCAGAGGGCAGAGGCAGCAAAGGGGCTGAGGCTGAGAGGGCTGATGCCTGAGCCAGATGAACCAAATTAGAGTAAGACCTGTACGGCATGGGCATGGCTATGGGGGAGGCTGGAAGCCACCACTATAGCCCTTACGGTGCAGTTAGGGCCAAGAGGGTCGTGATTAGGAGGCAGCCGGTGGAGGAACTTTGTTAGTGGATGGAAGGTCTGGTGGCAAGGAAGACCAAAGATCTAGCAAAGGAAAGCAAGGGGGCCTACAGATTGCACAACCAAGATCCCTCCAAGGCTCTACACACCTTTCCTAAATGCTAAAAAAAATTACATCCAGAGATAGTGAAAGGGAGTAAGCTAAAGAGCTGGAGTGAGGGGCAGGATTAGTTCAGCCAAAAAGGGGGCACCATTCTACCCTCAGGCCAATGCTGTCATAACACCTCATAACTGGGGAAACCACACCAGGTTTGAGCAGGTGACCAAGAATTTTCTGAGCTTATCATGTTTTAAAACACCCACAGTGTGTCACAAACTTTGTTTACAGGATCAAATACTTCCAGCTTTATCTGTCTTAAAGTTTTATTTGGCAAAAATTTTTTGGTCTGGGTTGTTCTCCCATTTCTAGTTGCCTTTGACTTTGAACTATAAAAGAACAAGATTATATACAAAAAAAATCCCTAGAAAACTGGCCTATGAAATTCCCATCCATACCCACAGATTGTGATTAAAACCACTGGAGATAAGGGGAGAAAAATCCATATCAGTTTTATGTGGGCCAAACATAACCAGAGCCAGAATCTCATGCACTCCTCCAAGCATCCCACACAAAGCTTGGGGAACTCGTCCTAAGCATCTCACACCTGCTGGTATGCACACCTGACATTTAAACTCATGCTTGACTGGATTAATGGCAGGTTTCAACCCACAAACATCAGTGCTAAAGGCCCATGCAACTGCTGCTTGAACTAAAACCACTGGCAGTTGTAGAAACCACTTATGTAAACCAGTCACTCAAAGTAGAGAACTTCCATTAACTCTCTTAATTGCATTATGATTTCGTATTGAAATCCAGAAAGTAGGGCAGGATAGCACCTTACACACTAACTGGTTCAGTGAGGCATGAGCTTTCATAAGCAATAGCATACTTTATAAGATGCGATGAAAGGAATCTCATGTTGAAAGTTGTCTCTCAGCTTCCTGTATGTGTGCTGTTTTGTCCATGACAACAGTGGCACCTCACTTGATCAGTCTGTTGTATGATAATTTCAGAGTGTTTTTTCAAGCTAATTATGGCTCTCCATTCTGAAGGACTGAGGTTGCAGCATAAGCATTATTGTTTTCTGGCAACCTCAGAGTGGGCGTGGAGGCGGAAACAGTTTATGTAAGCGGGGCTGCAGCCCTCAGGTGTGGTCCAGAAAGCATCTTTCCTGCTGTGCTATGTAGAAGTCAGGTCTGTGGTGGGTTGATCATTGCATGGCTCCTTGCCATGGAAATATTCCCATAGTCATAAGTGATGGGGGAAAAAAGCCCTGAGGGGCACATCCAGACATGTGTGGATGTTTGGTTCCCTGAGGACAAGGAGAACAAGCTCTTCATCCCCAAGGAATACCTGCGCCACACATGCTTTGGCACACAGCAAGTTACCCCAGGTGGGGTGGGGTAGGGGAGGCTAGGGCCAGCACTGTGCTGGCCCCAGCAGCCTTACTTGGGATCCTGCAGGCCTCCTGGGGCTGCAGCCATGGTGAATCTGCCACGCAGAGCCTGGCTGGCAGCTGCAGCACAGCTCTGGGTGACCTGGCTCTACTTTTCAGCAGCATGCACTGGCCGAGCATGCACTGTGCCATTTTTTTTTTCCGCAGTTCCCCCAGGGGGTCAAAAGACATGGGTATGTCTATAAGGCATGGGCATTGCTATGTGGCAGGCTGGAGGCCACAACTAGCGCCTGTAAGGTGCAGTTAGGGCCAAGAAGGTCATGATTAGTGCCTCAAGGCAAGAAGACACTGATGGCCAGGATCATGCCAAGAAGACAAGTTTAGTGCCAGCAGGGCACAGATAGGGGGAGGCAGCCAGTGGAGGAACTTTGTCAGTGGATGGAGGGTCCAGTGGCAAGGATGACCAGAAGTCCAGCAAAGTAAAGGAAGGGGGCCTACAGATAACACGACCAAGATCCAGGGGAAAAAAAAAACAGTACAGCACATGCTTGGGCAGTGCACCCTTGCAGCACGGAGAACACTAGATTGTGCAGTATGTGTCACTGCAGATGTGTTTGCAGCACCACAGACTGCGCTCGTCTGCACATACCCAAGATGTCCATATAGCTGAACCTTACTGAGCTATGTATTTGGAGGGGGAACCACAGGAGAGTGCAGACACTTCAGATGGGCTGAGCATGTGGCTAGATAAGTCGATGATATTGCTGTGGATTGTGGAGTTGTTGTTAGAATGTGTAAGTTTGGGAAGTTTCATTTCCATTTTCTTTAAGGAGCAAACGTGCTCCAGGAATTTGGCTGGACATAGAGATTTCCTTCTGGTAATAGCTGTTTTGTCTGGATGGTTCCACATGCTTATTAGTTTTGAAATGGTGACCCAGTTTTCTCCCTTGGCTCAAGCTATGAAAATGAGAATTTAATTACTGAGGGGCAAAAAGCACCTAGTGTGGTACCCCTCAGAAGTGTCATTACCTGACCTGCATGTCTCTGATCACATTCAAGAATGCCCGTGCCTCCCTCTCCTTGCAGGTATGTGAAGAGCCAACGTCACACCATCCAAGTTGATTTTGTTCAATACATGGATGAAATTGCCAGCCTGACAGGGGTCAAGCCCAACTTACTGTCTCTCTTTCTCACGGATCCTAAGCTAGCCATGGAGGTTTTCTTTGGCCCATGCACACCGTACCAGTACCGCCTGAGAGGACCAGGGAAGTGGGATGGAGCCAGAAGAGCCATCCTGACTCAGAAAGAGCGGATCATCAGGCCCATGAAAACCAGAAGTATAGAGGATTCTATCAGCTATTCCTCAGTGCCCTTTTTACTTAAGATTGTTTGTGTTGTTGCTCTCTTTGCAGTAATTCTTGCGTACTTTTAACTGCTTATCTTCTGCCTTGTTACATATGAAAAAGGGATTGTGTTAAACTTGACCTTCTGGATCTCTGTTGGTTTATAACTTTACCTCTGCAGCTTGAGCTCACAACCTTCCTTGTTTGACATGGCTGCTCAAAACTCAGTGTTGACTAGGACCACTCTTCTTGTATAAGAATTGAGATCTTTGGTTCTGTTAAATATTTCTTTGGCCACTAGCAAAAAAAATGTATCTCAGCATGAGACTGATGTCAGTGTCAGTTAAAAAAAAATATCCATTGCTTATCACGTTTCTGGAAAATCACCCTTTGACCCTATTGCACACTGCTGATGTACTGAAAGCAAGGCCCTAGTTCAGGCTAATATTTTTTTCTCTGAATGCAGAAATTCAGTCCCTTTGTTATATGTGATTTGTAGCACTTAACTGCCAGGAGCACAGAATTATTTTTTTTCTGGAAATTGACAAGGGAATCTGGTACGTAATTGATTTTCAGCTCAAACTATTATCTTGAAAAACAGTCCTTTAAAAATGTGCTTGTTAGGCTTTTCTCTTCATCCAAAGTGATCTTAATGCTGGAATAAAGCAAGCACCTGGGACTTTCGATAGAGCTAAAAATAACTGAAAACTTGGGTGAAAGTTATATGTGAAGAAACAAGGTGGGAACTAAGTCAAGTTATTAACTATTGCTGTACCTGATTATTATGATTCTACAGCCTACAGACAAACCCTGGCCATCAACTCAAGAAATTTTAAATTGGGCCTTTGTGACGTTAGCCATAACTCAGCTAATCACCATCTTTCTCTAAAGTTAGTTTGTGTGCACCAAGTTTATTGTTTGCAATGATTCAGACCAAACATTTGTCAAGAATTCTTATTAGTAGCTTACACAGCCACCTGTCACATGTTTTTAAAGGATCTATAGGCTCACTCTAGTTTGGGCACCCCCAGGCACAGCTGTATCCATGACTTTTGGCACTGAGGCTGTACAGCAGGGGAACAAGAGCACTGGGACTCTAGTAGTGGGGAAATACCATGACCATGATGCTAGCAGGGGAAATACCCTGGCCAAGGTAATGTAATTAAAATGGCACTGCGTAGTGGAGGGTTGTACCTTTGTCTGCTTGTGGACAGGACTCCCTATGAGAGCCTCAGTTAGCTTCCCACTGGCCAGCTTCTAGTGAAAGGATCTTGGCTACACGCTGACTTTACGGAAATGGGAGACTCCTCCCTAGCTTGCTCCTGTGGCCAGATGGCTGAGGGCAAGTGAAATGCAGGGGTATCCAAACCCCAAGCCTCCAGACTTGGGCCTGCATGTAGGACACCTGCCCAAGGATTTGGAAGCATCTGAAGCCCCAGGTGGGGGTGGAGGATGCTTGCTGGTAGTAGGGCCACATATGGTTCTTGAATGACTCATGGATTTGGAATTGATTTGGCTGATTTGACTTTGGACTCGAAAAATGTTCCTTAAAAAAAAGAGGGGGGGGGGCATAAAGTTTTTTAAGCTATCTACCTATGGTATATATAATCACAACAATTGCACTCAACTGTTTTTAATCATTTTCATCATTTATTAGTTATAGCATAATTTCTTAGAATAGAGTAGATAAAATTTCAATTAACTGTAAGTACATAGGAGACTTAGAGCCTGGTTTTAGTTTCTTTAGCAAAGAAAGAGAATTAGCACAGATTCTATATTAAAATGCCCATCTTACAATTAACTTCAACTTGATTAACTGGGAGATTCTCGAAAAATTCATTCCATGTCCACAGAAAAATTCTGGTTTTGGAAAGAAAATGTAGTTTTCATGCATAACAAAGATGTGTATTCCTATTTTGAGTACAAAATGGAACTTGGCCTTCACTATGGAGCTTGGATAAATGCTTTGATGACAAACAGTACTCTGTTTGACCACACTTAGCCAGACGAAATAGGCAGAATAACTGAAAGTGTGATTTCTAAGAACTGTATTTGTAAATTTGTCAAAGGTTTCCACAGCCTTAAAGAGAAGCTCTTCTCTCTTTTTGTATACATGTGAATAAATATAAAAACATCCTTTTGGTAGTGTTTACTATCCCTCTGGATCAGTCTGGAACATACGGTCTAAATAATCTAGGCACAATCCAGTGGGGAAAGGAAGCTGAGGGGGTGTCGTTGTGCATGAGGTAGCGGGGAGATGCCATGCCATGTCTTACCGACAGGTGGCACATCCCGTCAGGCTTTGGAAACTTGTTTTCTTTCTGATTAATTGTGGCTGCTTGGATTCCAGACTGTAAGGTAAGTGAGGTAAGAGCTTTGTGAATTTAATCAGCTGATCCTTCCCTCACCTGCCATTGCAGAGTTGGGGAGAAAGCCTGCTTGCCTCCTAAAACAGAAAGAACCTAGGGTCTTTTCTGCATGGGGTCAGTTTGCAGCCTTTCTTAATTAGGGGAAAGGGTTTGCATTTCTGTTTGCTTCAGGTTCCATATTCATTCTTGGATCCTGTACAACTGTACATTCACTCCCTCACTCTTGTGATTTATACACTTCTTCCCTTGAAACATGCTGGAAGCAAATAGAAGGATCTGTTGCCAGAAAACTGTCACTAGAGAGGATAATGATTTAGTTGCGCTTAGGAAAACAATGTGTTTGCAGCCCGTTAGCAATCTGACAAGGTTGCTCTAAAAAGTCCAAGGTTTCTTCATCTGCTATGGTGCATATGTCCAGCAGGCTGAGCCCCAAAATCTATAGTGATCTTCCCAGATGGCTTATTCATTTGCCTGGATAATGTGGTAATTTGATGTACTGGCAGATTAGGACCCAGAAGATAATGTAGCCAACTCCTGACACTATTGTGGGAGAAGTACAGGTCATAGTCTATTGCAAACTCATCACAGCCTGTAGCATTCCAGAACTGTCATCTGCAATGCATTATTACAATACTGCGCCAAACTGAGTAGCAGCTGCCCTCTAGCATCCTTCCCATTTAACTCAAAGAGCTTGGAACAAACTTTGGACTAAACCAAGGCCAAACTGCAGTGGGCTGAACTGAACAAGAGTGAAAATTTCTACACACCTGCTCTGCACATACATATCTATTCACAGTGCTTCTAGTTTCCCTTGCTTCTGGGGGTGTATAGGTACTACGAAGCCACCAAATCCTCTAAGTCTCTGTAATGATATAATCTCATACTATTTTTATTCCACAGTTTAAGATACAGATGATGTTGACTTTGTCAGCTCTGATACGTTTGACGCTAATACTAAAGTGTTCAAGCTGAGATATGCCGTTATTCTCTAACCTTCTATCCCTTGCCTTGAATTCCTGATCCATGCCCTCCTAGTATTTCTGAGAGTTACTACAGAAAGATGCCCCAAGGAGGTGCATTTTATTTTGGGGGCATTTTCCAGACTTTAGTTATGTGTGGACAGGTTAGTGCTGCTCTCTCAGCCTTAGCCCTGACTTGTTTGACTTCTAAGTATTTCAAAATTAATTAGGATGCCCTATTGGCTCACTCCCTTGCATGTCATAGTTGGGCCCAAGGGATGACTAGTTCATGGGGTAGCAATGATATGCAGTGTTTCATCACTGTGTTGGTCCTTTGAAGCTGAACAAAAAAATGCCCCTCAGATATCAGAGCAGATTGCCTGTAAGAACTTAGTCCAGTTTATACTGTTGCAGTGTGACATCACAGAAACCATCACTCTAATGAGCACCTGCTGAGGGCTCAGTGAGGGATGATCCCAACCACTATTGCACAGGCTATAGAGACTCAAGTCCCCTTCTTCTTTCAGGTGCAATAAGGGAAAGACAAAAATGGTTTTCAGGTGTTAAGATCAAAAGGAACTGCTATGAGCAGCTGGATGCACACTTATGCGATAATCAGGGATTGTGGTTTTCCCTTTCCCATGGAAACAGAAAAACCACAGATTTCCCCCTTTATTGGAGCAAAATGCTGATTTCTCATTTTAGCAGAGAAACCCATGGATTTTGCACTTTTGCAAAGAGCTCTCTGCAGGCTGGCAGAGTTCCCGGTGTGTTAGGTCTCTGCAGTGTCTCTAAGAAACAGGTGATCCTATGTAAAAATTGAAGTATATCAGCTCCCTTAAGGAGTGGGAGCAAAGCTCTTATCCACAG